CGTGGTTGACTACATGGGAGTCCAGCGACATAGCCATTACGCTAACTGCTGGTTCCCCCATATATACTTCTTAACCACATATATTTTTAAATCTATTTGCCAAAACAACTGACATATGACTTGGTATTGTTTGGCTATCACTTGGCTTGTACCTAAGGAATGAAAGAAAATTTCTTAGTTGGAAGGCAGAATAACTATTAGAAGATGTGATTCCAGAACCAGCAGATGGCGTAATGGTTATGTGACTGGACTCCCACATAGTTGACCAAGGTTCAAGTCCCAGACCCAGTGGCTTAAAACTCATGCTGGGCACATGTGCATGTGTGCCCAAAATCCCAAGGGAAGAATGGAGGAGAAAGGATTGTGTCGTGCCCATCCCCCCAGGGGGATGATTTCTCGCTTTCTGTCTAGCGAGCACATAATACCCTATAGCAAAAATCTCTTAAAAAAGAAAGAAAAAAAAAGAAATTACTTATTTATTATTATCATTATTTTTTAAATTTGCTGCAGGGCACATGCGTTCACCAGAGAGAGAAGGAAAACAAGAAAGTACACCACCAGGTCTGGGACTCAGACTGTGCTTGGCCATGTAGGAATCCAGTGCCCTATCTACCATACCACCTGCTGGCCCCTATCTTTTTTTAATTTTTTTAATTTAAAAATTTTTTAATTAAAAAAAAAGAAAGATAAATTTTTTAGTTAATTTTATTTTTCTTCTTTTTTTAATTTGCTATAGGCACATTCACTCATCAGAGAGACAGAGAGGGAAAGTGAGAAAATAGACCTCTGGGTCCAGGGTTCTAACCACAGCCACCATAGCACCTCCTGGCCCCAGATCATTATTGTTAACTCACTGTTTACCTAGTTTTTGAAATTGCTTTACTCAGACCCAGTTCATATTGTACATACTAGATTATTATTATTTAGAAAAAAAATTTTAAAACCTGGGAAGGACATAGCCACATCTAGAAAATAAGTATGATAAAGCAAGCGTACTGGTATTTGAACAAAAGAAAATCTGAGAGCAGATCATTAGAATAATTTTGAAGTGTTAAAACATTGCATTCTTGGGGGACCAGCAGTTGGCATAATGGTTATATCGTTGGACTCCCATGTAGCCAACCACAGTTCGAGTACCAGACCCAGTAGCTTAAACTCACACCAGGCGCATGTGTGCCCCAAGATCCCAAAAGGAGAATGGCAGAGAAGGGATTGCGGCATGGCCATCCTCCCAGGGAGGTGATTTCTCGCTTTTCCTCTCATTGTGTCTCTCTGGTGACTGCATGCACCCTATGACAAAAACCTTAAAAAAAAAAAAAAAGGGGAGGGGGAGGGGCTATAGCGCTGGACTCCCACTTAGTTGACTGCAGTTAAAATCCTGGACCCGACAGCTTAAAACACACAGGGCACTTGTTGTACTTGCTTAAAATCCAGAGAGGAGAATGGAGCAGAAGGGATTGTGATGTAGCCATCTTCCCAGGGGCTAATTTCTCACTTTCTGTCTCTGTGTTTCTCTGGTGAGTGCGCCCTATAGCAAAAATCTCTCTTTTAAAAAAAGTTGCATTTGGAGGCCGACAGGTGGCACGATGGTTAAGGCACTGGTCTAACTGCAGTTTGAGTCCCAGACCTGGTGGCTTGCTTTCTCACTTTCTCTGTGTCTCTCGCTGGTCAAATTAAAAAAATAATGATGGGGCCAACAGATGGCATAGCAGTTACATCACTGGACTCCCACTTGGCTGTCTACAGTTCAAGTCTTGGACCCAGTGGCTTGAAACTCATGCTAGGCACTTGTGCGTGCATGCCCAAGATCCAAGGAGGAGAATGAAGGAGAAAGGATTGTGGCATGGCCATCCCCCCTGGGGGGTGATTTCTCATTTTCCCTCTCACTGCCTCAGTTTCCTCTCTCTGGTGAACACACATGTCCTAAGGCAAAAACATGTTTTAATTTTTTAAATAAATAAATAATGATAATGAATAAAATTATTCTTTAGAAAAAGAAACATTACACTATGATTCAACATGTTAATTGATCATCACTCTTTCTGGAGTGTGTACTTCTGCTAATACTTCTATATGTTGTACCCTAACAGTGGTCTCTATCTGGAAAGCAGGTTAACCATGCTAGTGGGAGGGGTGATAACCGTGAGCTGCAGTTAGGAATCGGACTTTCCTTTTAGCATTTCTGAGTTACTTCTGATACTGCTTGTAGGGACTTGGATGTATTCTGTAGTGAGGATTCAGTCTGCATGTTGGGGATGACTCCTGCTTTACCTTACTCTGTTTATTTTCCTAGGTTACCAAAGTGACCCAGGTAGATGGAAACAGCCCCGTCAGGTTTTCCACAGAGACCACTTTCCTAGTGGATAAGTATGAAATCCTGTAATACCAAGAAGAGGGAATGGAAAAGGAAAAAAATTCAAATTAAAAAAGAAGAAGCCCACAGTGGCTGAAGAGTTGTTTTCCTTCCAAATTTACAAGCCATTGGAGACCCTTTTTTTCTGATACAGTGCACGATTCTCTGCGCGCAAGGACCCTCAACTCACCCCTGGTGTTTCAGTGTCACAGAGACATTTTTGACAAAGAAATGACACAAACATAAGGGAAAGGCTGCTGATTTCTTTGGCAGATTTTACTGGCCTGCAGGAAAAAGCTCTCCGTAGAATGCCCCATTCTACACTTCTGTCTTTGCCTAAGTTGCTCCTTTAATCTCTAAATATAGTTATATTTCATACTTACTTTGTTTCTAAAAAGTTTCTCTTTAGAAGATTTTAATCTTTTATACTCCTTTTCTTTACCCAGTTTTTCCTTTCTGGACATTCTATCAAGTACTGGGATCAGCTCTAGATAGGAATATTTGGCACCCCTGGAACAAGTGCATCTAACCTGTTCTTGACTGCTAGACTATGCAGGTGTAAAGGGCATGGCGTCTAGACATTAAAAGATGAAGATGTCTCCTGTCTTTTCCCATAGGCATTCATGCCTCCGCTCCTTTGCCAAGTTGATTTCCTTTCAAGGCCTGTCCTTCCAGTTTAGTACGGAGTGGTACAGAGAACCCCACTTGTGTCACTATTAAAGATAGCCAAGGAGGACCTACCAGGTGGAATTGCCCCTTTTCGCAATGTCTGGGAGAATCACACCTGTTGCCAGTGCCACCTGGGCATCCAGCCCCCCATGGCAGGTGCTGAGGCTGAAACGTAGGAGTTCACAGCCTTAGTAGTCCTTATGTCGCCTGGGTCGCCTCTCCTGGCTCCTCTCTGTCATTGGTCCTCTCCTTCCTAACAGAAATGAGGCAACGATTTCGAAAACTGCAGGTTCAGTGCAGCTTTGTGCCAGTCCCGTTAACCCCGAACTAGCAAGGCTGCTTCATTTCCACCACTAGATTTTAAGAGGTAGCGGATTACATCTTATATAGAGTTTACTCATACACTGTGAGGAGGTTAGCCTGACCCTGTCTCTGAAATCCTTCCCCCTCCTTCCCCTGAGTCTTTAAATGCCATTGCGTTGTGCTTGTTCCTCAGTTCCTTCTCAGCCATTACTTTTCCAGTGGAGACTGCACCGTCGCCAGCCCAGCCTTGGCTTTTAACCCAGTATTACACTTGGTAGTGTGGGCAAGGAGTTGCTGCCAGGCTGTGGGCACTGGCAGTGGGAAGGGGCAGGTGACCATAGGTGGCCCCCTGCACTTCTCACTGGCGGGGAGTACCCCACCCCCACATGTGCCCTGCAGCCAATGTGCTGTGCTTGAAGCAAGCAGTCACACACAGCGGACATGGGTGGACTTGATCGCCAAAGAAATTTCTGGCCTTTCCCTTTTCTTTTCCCTAACTACATCAGGGAAGACTCCTTATCTCTAGCTTGGTTTCTATGTGAGGGTTTTCTGAAGAAGGGGACTGGGACAAGATGTCTGTTGTGTAGTTAGGTAGGCAAGAATCTTATTAATCCAGTTTTGTTTGAGAGTTGCTTGTCTATATGATTTTTTTAAAGTCAAGTTTAATTTCACAACTTTTTTTTTTCCTGAGATTACGTCTGGGGTAATATTTAAAATGAGAGACATTTTGTAACCCTGTAAAATACATAGGGAATATAACATTCCAGTGTATACAAAGAAGGCAAATTCTTTAATCAAATAAAGAGTATTATAAAATGAGATGTTTACTGGGCTCTTGACTCACACTTCAGTGTCTGCTGACTGATTGAGGATGCTGAAATAGGATCTAAGATTAAAAATTAATGATATGTTTTTTTTAAGAGAAAACAATCTCTGAGAGTATTCATTGCCTTTTTCCTGTACTCGAGGTATTGTGCCCGCTTGTGTATTTTCTACCTTCACACATGTAGATATAGACATACCTGGAAACACAGACTGCGTACCGCCTAGCATTTGAATGTGGTGCTACCCATGGCTTTTTGGGGGATTGGAGTCTTAATTTTGTGGGAGGTCGGAGCTGGTAGGTGGCATGGTTGAGGCACTAAACTCCCACATGGCCGATAACAGTTCAACTCCCAGACGTGGTGACTTGCTTTCTCATTTTCCTTTCTCTCTCCATGTCTCTTGCTGGTCAAATTAAATAAATGAATGAATAAAAATTAATAAATATCTCTTTAAAAAAATTAAATTGTGTGGGAGATGGTTGAGTCAGAAAGAAGCTTCAACTTGGAGACTTCTCTTCCTGTTTAGACAAACAGTGGTGAGCAGTAAGTGATCCCAGGATGAGTGATGAATGCCTTGGGAATTGGTATTCCCTCAGAAAAAGACTCCTTACTTTCTTGTGCTGCTTTTTTATTTAACTTGGAAAAACTACTGAATGTCAACAAATTGTTTGGAAAGCAAATTCTCCCTAATAAGTGTCTGGAATGAAGAAGTTTTAATGGTGAAAGCCAAGATTTTTTTTTTTTTTAAAGAATTATTTACAGTGGGACTAGCAGTTGGTGTAATGGCTATGTCGCTGGACTCCCATGGAGTCGACTGTGGTTCGAGTCTTGGACCTGGTGGTTTAAACTCACGACGGGCACATGTGCGTGCGTGTCCAAGATCCTGGGAGAATGGAGGAGAAGGGCCATCCCCCCGGGGAGTGATTTCTCGCTTTCTGTCTCTCTGTCTCTCTGGCAAGTGCACACACCCTATAACAAAAACCTCTCAAAAAAAAAAAGAATTATTTACAGGTGCCAGCAGGTGTAGTGCTTAAGGGAGCTGAACTCCTACATGGCCGACTGCAGTTTGATTCCTGAATCTGGCAGCTAGCTTTCTCACTTGACACATCTCCCTCTCCCTCTCCCTCTCCCTCTCCCTCTCTTTCCATCTCTGGTCAAATTAAATAAGTAAATAAAGCTAAATAAATAATTCTTTTAAAAAAATTATTTACAAACCAGCAAATGGCATAACGGTTACTTTGCTAGTCTCCTATGTAGTAGACTGGGGTTCAGGTTCAGACCTGATAAGTTAAAACTCAACGCCAGGCACGTGTGTATGTGCCCAAGATCTCAAGAGGAGGATGGAAAAGAAGGGATTGTGGCATGGCCATCCCCACAGGTGATTTCTCACTTTTTGTCTCTCTGTCTTTCTCTCTTTCTGGCAAGCACAGTACCCTATAGGAAAAAATCTCTAAAGAATTATTTACTTAATGTTATTTATTAGTATTATTTTTTTTATTTGATTGCAGGGGGAAGTGCAAAAGCAGCAAGTCACCCGGTCCAGGACTAGATCTGTGGTATGCCATGTGGGAGTCCAGCACCTTAACCACCAGGCCATCTGTCAGCCCCAAGTTTTTGTGTTTTTTTAATTTGTTGCCAGTGAGTATGTGCACTCACCGGAGAGTTAAGAGAGAACTCCCCAGTGGGGTGCGGTCCTGTGGCAAATCTCTTTCCTCCCTTTCTGTAGCCCATCATGAATCTGGGCACACACACCCATATGCCTGGTGTATTTTTCAAGCCACCAGGCTACAATTCAAACCATGGTAGCCCATAAGGGATTATGCTTATTTTCTTGGGGGGGGGGGGGCCTTTTTTGTGCTTAGTGCCTAACCACCATGTACGGGCTAACCCTTGGATTTTTTTTTTCCCCTTAAGGAAATCACATTAATTCTGGTTAACGTTCAAGTACAACTTGTCACAGGAGATAGGGAGACCGTAATCTTGTCCTATGAAACAGGACACCAGAACTATGCCTCACCCCTGACTGGCGCCTGATCCTCTGTGGCACCCAGTGGACTCCTTGGCCTTTTGTGAGAGATGGGCAAAATGATCAGATCTGACTGAATATAGGAGGCAGATTGATGGTTTCTGTTCGGGGTTAGTAAATGCCACATTGGGGCTAGCAGGTGGTGTGCTGGTTGAGGTGCTGGATTCCTACATGGCTGCCTGCAGTTCAAGTCCCAGACCCAGGTGTGTGAAAATCATGCTAGGTGTCCCAATTCCTGAGAATAGAATGGAGGAGAAAGGATTGTGGTGTGACCCTCCCTTGGGAGATGACCTCTCACTTCCCTCTCTGTCTCTGGCAAGTACATAAGCTCTGTGTCAAAAACCGGAAAAAAAAAATTCCACGTAGAGAAGATGGGGAATACACCTCTGGACAAGCATTCCTTTTTATAAAGGTCTGCCCTGGCCAACCAGTAGTGTTGTTAAGGCAGCTAGGTCCCACGTGGTTAACTGCATAGTTCAAGTCCTGCACCCAGTGGCTTGAAAAACATGCCAGGCTTGGAACCAGCAGTTAGCGTAATGGCTATGTCGCTGGACTCCCACGTAGCTGACCACAGTTCAAGTCCCGGACCCGGTGGCTTAAACTCAGGCCGGGCGTGTGTGTGTGTGCGTGCCCAAGATCCTGAGAGGAGAATGGAGGAGAAGGGATTGCGGCATGGCCATCCCTCCTGGGGAGTGATTTCTTGCTTTCTGTCTCTCTGTCTCTCTCTGGCTGACTGGCGAGCAAAAACCTCTCCAAAAAAACAAACCATGCCAGGCTCAATGCATGCCCAAAATCCCCAGAGAGTGGAGCAGACAGGATTGCAATGTGGCCATACCCCCCGCGGGGTGCTTTCTCAGTTTTCCTCTCTGTCTCCCTGTCTTTCTTTAGCAAGTAAGTGCACATACCCTATGACAAACTAAAAACAAAGCAAAAACTGCCATTTGTTTACTCACATAGCTTCAAACCCAAGTCTATCAAACCATGTATTTCTGACAGGAAACTTTGTCCTCCAATTAAAGTTGTTCACACAAGGTTTGAAAACCTAGGTGGGATCTGAGAGATTTCCGGGGTGGATTTGGAAAAGCCTTTTTTTTTTTTTTTTTTTTTTTTTTTTTACAATTTATTTTTTTGGGAGTGGCAAGTGGCATGGTGTTTAGGGGCGCTGGACTCCCACATGGCTGACCACAGTTCGAGTCCTGGACCTGGCGGCTTGCTTTCTCACTTTCTTTCCCTCTCTCTCTAACTCTGTTTCTCTCTAATTAAAATAAATAAGTAAATAAATAAAGGTAAATAAAATAATTCTTAAAAAAAAAAAAGAATTATTTAGGACTGGCAGGTGGCGTAGTGGTTAAGGGCACTGGACTCCCATATGGACGACTGCAGTTGAAGTCCCAGACCTGGTGGCTTGTTTTCTTATTTTTCCTCTCTCTCTCTCTGTCCCTCTCTGGCCAAATTAAAAAAAAAAAATTTTTTTTTTGAGAGGTTTTTGCTGTAGGGCTTGAGCACTTGCCAGACAGACAGAGACAGATAGAAAGCAAGAACTCACCCACCCAGGGGGGATGGCCACGCCACAATCCTTTCTCCTCCATTCTCCTGTCGGGATCTTGGGCATGCACGCACACGCACCCAGCATGAGTTTAAGCCACCGGGTCTGGGACTCGAACTGCCGACGACTATGTCAGAGTCCAGTGACATAGCCATTATGCCAACTGCTGGTCCCAAATTAAAATATTTTTTTTAAAGAAGAATTAGTTAACATGGGAACCAGCAGTTAGCGTAATGGCTATGTCACTGGACTCCCACCTAGTCGACCACAGTTCGCGTCCCGGACCCGGTGGCTTAGAACTCACACTGGGCGCGTGTGTGTGCGTGCCCAAGATCCCTAGAGGAGAATGGAGGAGAAGGGATTGCGGCATGACCATGCCCCCTGGGGGGTGATTTCTCACTTTCTGTCTCTAAGTCTCTCTCTGTCTGTCTGGCGAGCGCACGCGCCCTATAGCGAAAACCTCTCAAAAAAAAAAAAAAAAAGAATGAGTTAACTTTATTTATTTGTTATTGTTATTATTATTTTAATTTGATCAGAGAGATTCAACAAGTGAAAGTGAGAAAGCAAGCTTCCAGGTCCAGGACTTGAACTGCAGTAGGCCATGTAGGAGTCCAGCACCTTAACCATTATGCCACCTGCCAGCCCCCTAGAATAGCTTTTATTAAAAGTTTCTGTCCAGGCAGACCCAAGGTGGGAAATAATGTGGTTAAGTGATGCTGGATCCTCATGCAAGATGGCAGATGTTGTTCCCTGGTCAACTCATACAAGCTGAGTGCATGCACCCAGGCTCCTGACTGGCTGGGAAGACGGGGGTGGGAGGTGGGAGAGGGAGCGATTGCCATGTGGGACCTCCTGGAGGGTGCTTGTCTGTCCCTCCCCCCTACTTCTGTCTCACTCATGAAAGAAAGTTCACATGTGGGAGTGTTTATTGGAAGGAGATAAGAGAAAAATAGATGGGACCAGCAGTTAGGGTAATGGCTATGTCCCTGGACTCCCATGTAGTCGACCAGGATTCGAGTCCCAGACCCAGTGGCTTAAACTCACGCCGGATGCGTGTGTGTGCATGTCCAAGATCCTGAGACGAGAATGGAGGAGAAGGGATTGCGGTATGGCCATCCTCCCTGGGGGATGATTTCTTGCTTTCTGTTTCTCTGTCTCTTTCTGTCTCTCCAGCAAGTGCACACACCCTATAGCAAAAAATAAATAAAAGAAAAAGAGAAAACCATGAAAAAAAATCCATCTCCAAGAGGGTAATGGGGTAATGGTTATGTTGCTGGACTCCCACATAGTCAACTGTGGTTCAAGTCCCAGGCCCAGCCACTTAAACCTCCTGCTGGGTGCATGTGTGTGCATGCCCAAAATCCCAAGAGGAGAATAGAGAAGGGATTGCAGCATGGCTGTTCCCCCAGGGGGTGATTTCTCA